CGTGCGTGCGTGCGTGCGTGTGTGTGCATGTGTGTGCGTGCTTACCTTGCGTATGAAGTTGATACGTGTGCTGGTATGTTTGCATGTGAAAGGGGATGCATGTGTGCGTGTATGTGTGTACATATTCCTGTGTGCACCAGCAACAGAATACTGGTAGGAGTTACATTTCTGCATAATTCTGTAATAAGTGTGTACGTGCACCTCGATATGTCATTATTTTTAAATATATCTTGTTTTTATTTGCAGCCTGGAACCCCTGACAAGGGTGAAGGTACCTCTCCTACACAACTCCATCTACCAGTAGAAGGCAATATACTGAGCAGGAAGTTTTCTAAGTGTAAGTCCCAGCTGTACAAAGTCCATTTATTTTGAGAAGGTCAGATTAATCTTCCCTGCTCACTACTTTTACAGTAATACTAAATGACGCGAGACTTCTACCCAATCCCCACACTTTAGACTTTGCACTCTGCACAATATGTGGCGTGTGATCATGAGTGAATCTGTTTGTGCGACTCAACATTGCCGGTATTTAATGTGGAAATCATAGTAATAACAGTACCCAAATCTTCCCGCATTGCGTGCCAATTTCCTGTTGGTGAGCAAGAGGAAATCTCAACCCGGTATATATATGTATGGGAAAAAATGCTCATTACTATTCACCACATGAATCTGTCCCGGGGCACTATGCGCTGTAAACACAGGATGTGCCACGTGTCTGCTCACCTCCCCATTGGTTGCATGCGTACTTGCAGGATGCTCGTCAAATTCGAACTTTCCTGTTCTGAAACATAAAATGGCACCAGTCCTCGTGTGTCCCATCGGCTGCACAACCTACGATTGGCGCTTTCCTAGTAGATACACCGTATCCCTTGACGCTCCAACAATTTTAATGTCGTCGAGCGATTAGATTTCCTGTATTAGATCCAAGTGTCTCATGTTAGTTGTAACGCGAGTTCCACGAACCTGAACGTCATCATTTAACAGTCTCGATTGTCAACGCTAGATCTAGTAGAGTTTCCGGGCCACCGAAACATCGTCGCCTAACGATTTGATACTGCGGTTCAAGTGTTCCACGGGAGTGAAACACGCTCGCGCTTCACTGTTCGTCTGGAACGCGTGTTGCCGACATCGCTCGTACGGATGCATTCCTCGATGGAATTTGTGAGCGTGCCATGTGACAGCGATGCAAGTCTGCTAGCCTACCACGTCGGCCGCCTGCACTGCCACATTGCCGACTTAAAACAGAAGGATGAGGAAGAAGTGTCACACCAGACCGACGATAAGAATCTTGCGGTGCCGGCAGATGAAGAGCGTAGGCTACCCAGGCGGGCGGGCAGTGTGCAGCAGCAGAGGCTGGAGAAGGAGCTTGGTCTCATCCTCAAGAAGGGAAATCCTTATCTCACTGCCGATGCGGAGAGCGAAAGCGGTGGCGCCACCATGGAGGCTGCGCAGAAGCATGCACGATGCAGCCTGGCGGATGGCAAGAGTGGGTCAAAGGAGAAGCCAAAGAGCGGGTTTGTAAAAGAGAAGGCAAGTAGTGGGTCTATGCGAGAGAAGGGCAAGAGTGGGTCGGTAAAAGAGAAGGCAAAGAATGGGTCGGTAAAAGAGAAGACAAAGAGTGGGTCGGTGAAGGAGAAGGCAAAGAGTGGTTCAATAAAAGAGAAGGCAGTGAACGGATTGGCGAAGGGGAAGGTTGAAGAGAAGGCAAAGAAGGCTCAGAGCTTCACGAAGCCAAGCAGGAAGAAGACGGGGAGTGATGCTGCAGAGCCACGGCGGGCCAGCGCGGAGGAGCGACATGTCATGGATGCTGACCCTCGCATGCTGCCCCCTACCTCCCCCCAGCGCATGATGGAACAGGTATTTGCTGAACTCCGCGGGCAATCCTCGCGTGGCCGCATCAACTCAGTGGAGGGCGCTGCTTCCCGGGCGCAGGGTCACGTTGACGTGCTAGAGGATGCTCTCCCTGTGACAAAAAGCAACATCGACGCACTAGAGAACCCTCTTCTGTCCTCACGAGGCAATGTTGATGTGCTAGACGGGTCTCTCCCTTCGACAAAGTATCGCCGAGGGGAGGAGGAGAGGTGGGGTTCGGTGACACATGGATATCATGCAGGTGAAACTGAGGTGTTGGGCTTCACCTTACTTAACTGGGATGAAGCTAACAATGATGTGTTTGCTGGCAATCAGGATGCAGGTGTGCGTGGTTGTGTAGTGCGAGGTAAGCAGGAGAATGAAACTGGCCTCTAAATAAACAAATTGACACAACTTAATGTTTTGCCTTTCTCTACCTCTTTCCCTCTCTCCTCTCTCTCTCTCTCCCTCTCCCTCTTCCTCACCCTCTCTCTCTCCTCTCT